TAAACTATGTGTGTGGGAGACCCCAAAGTCTGAGCCAATTACCATGAGATTAGCAACTCAAATGTGGCATATAAGGTACTATCGATCGTACTGTATGAAAAACTAAGGCCCACCGTGAACAAATTGATTGTGCCTTAACAGTGTGCCTTTAGACCTGGTAGATCCACCATTTATCTTGGTAAAGAGCCGTAAAAAGAAGATGGCCACACGCTATGTCTGAAATTGGTATTCCTGTAAGACTTGTACGGCTATGTAAACACCAAAAGCTACATCAGAATGGGGAAAAATATCTCCGAGCTCGATACCAAACGAGGTTTAGGACAAAGTGTGTCATTAATTTATTGCTGAAGAAAATAATACGAGCTGCAGAGGTGAATAGAGAATTTACAATATTTTTTAAGAGTGAACAGCTGCTTTCGTAGGCCAATAACCTCACACTAGATTCTGCTTTCTCCAGACTGGATAAGGAAGCCAAGCGTATGTATTTGGTAGTAGGCGAGGGAAACTAGGAACCAGCATTAACACCAATAAAAATGTCAGCCAAGAAACCAACTCAGAATTACTCTTATCAACAGGTGCTACTCTGAACTGATTAGACCATTGAAAACTAAAGTCTCTTTTCGACGAAGAAACACTAAACACTGCAAGCCATGATGAGGGGCTGCTTATTGGTGCAAAAGCGTGAGCGAAATCGACATCCAATGAGTTCAGCCTGAGGGGTCTTCCAAAAAATGATGTATGGCCCTCTGCGCGTTGGCAGCGGTGAGTAGCGCCAAGTGTGTCAACAATACTTTTTCCACCCTTCACGAAAACTACTCAACCGTCCTTGTGGAAATTCTACATAGATCTCCGTGATACAACGAAGGATTAATTTTTTGTTATTATTTTATTTGTTTTTAACTTTCCATGATCCTGTCATGAGTTCTACTGTCAATACAGACTCACCTTTTTCCCGAGGGATCGCTGAAAATGACGTAACAAAAGCGGAGACTTTAAGTGAATAATTTGAATGAAATATTTTATTTTTTTTTATAAAAAAAAAGTTGTAAAAACTAGATCTTTTTCCCCCCGAATAAACCCGGTTCACTCTTAGTTTTTCCTAAAATAATTTAGCGTTTGATGGAGAAGTGTGACGCGATGATCATATGTATATATAGATACAATACAAATACTCTTATACTCGTATATGGAATAATTATAAGACGCAAATCATCAAATGGCAAATATAATAATAACAACAAAAAACAATTTATACATTACAAATAAGTTTTTTTGTTATGTAAAAGTGCAGTAACGGGCACCGGCACGTATACACAAACACACACACACCCATTCACACAAATGCATACTCGTATACATATGGGCTTGAGCTTGTCATTGCAAACTCACTTCCAAACGTGCCACACGCAACAGTTAGCCACACAAATGGATTGCCGAAGCGATTTTTATGCCGCCAAAAGTACAGTGACACAAAAGTTAGTAAAATTGATGTATAAAATTATTATTATCTCGACTTAAAATTGTTAAAATACCATTTCTTGGTTTCCTTTAGATCTAATTTATTTAAAGTGTATCAATCAAAGAAAATATTTTTTAGGATAAAAAATATAAAATGGTCGAAAAATACCTCAAACGGATCGAAGTTTGCATAAAACTTTGATTGAATCGAGACCACATTTCGTGCTTTAAAAGAAGATTATGGTGTAACCGAATATCCGATTATCTCTATTTCTCAACGTTCTCAAAAGCTGGGACTTTCTTACGCCACATTATGGCGTATTTTGCACTTAGACTTACACCTACATCCATATAAAGTTCAGCTCATTAAACAACTGACCATTCACAGCCCCGTTCAAACGTCGATGGGGTCTTCTGAACAACAAGCAGTAGACCGGGAAATTGAAGAAAACTACTTGGACAATATGTGGTTTCATCAAAATGGTGCCACGAGCGAATATGGCTTGTGTGCTAGAGAAAATTTCCATGTTGAGCTTTTTTGTGGGGATTCTCGAAAGACCGTGTTTATGCGGATAAACCTTTAACTCTTGAGCACTTGAAAACCAATATTCATGCGGTTATGACTGCGACACCACCTAATATAAAAAAAAATAATTTTATGAAGAAAATTATTCTAAATGCATTTACATTTATTTTCGAAACCTCAAAATGGAAGGTTTATTCTAAGTTAATGATTTCTTTGGTATTTTGTTACTTCAAAAAATTTAACCAAATTGCTTTAAAAAACGAGGTTCATTGAAAAAAGTGTTGAGCAGCGTTGCCACTTGTTGAAAAATAAAAATTATTATAAAAAGATTTAAACAAATAATACATTACCATATGGGTGTTGGTGTAAAGGTATTTCCAACGGTTAATGGTGCAGAAATTTATCCGCAGAGCTGCCACATCCTTAAAAATGTCAAACCATTAAAGCTTGTAAATTAATATTGAGGACTGACAGTGGAAAATATTTTTGGGAGCTGCCATATTTTTTTAATTTCATATAGATACAATGAAATATTTAAAATTATAAAAGATACAACGCGGGTATCAAGCTGAAAAGGTGGTAACACGTTTGAATGTTGCAATGTGAAGAGTGATTTCACAAATTAAATACAACAAAATAATTAGGAAAATTGAGAGAAAATTTCAAAAAGGTTCTGCAGAGTGTTACTATCCGTTTTACATATTTTTGTTATTCATGTTGTAGGTTGAAAATTTAATTTTCGACCAGGTGGAAGGACTGAAAATACCGATGATAAGAATTTGAATCAACAATGGAAAAACTGCAAGTTGCTGCAGTTGTACAGTCCTACAAGTTGAAAAACTATGTTCTGGTTTGACCTGGTCAAAAAGCAGCGCACATCAACCTGATCGAAATACTCTCATTTTTTCACTCAGGGATGTAATAAATATTATTTATATGATTAGTACTGAATTCCACCTTTAGTAGTATATGTATATTGGAAAAGAACCATAATATAGGAGCGTTACCAATTTTGTTTTGGGTGCTTGGTTCCACTGTAGGCCTATTTTCACCCACGTACATATACATACATACATAATTAAATTTTGAACTAATCACAAATAACGAAACGAAAACAATACATAAAGTTAAATGAATTTAAAAATTAAATAAAGCCTATATTCTTAAAAATATTAAGTAATATTGATAGTTTCAAATTTTACCACTTTTTCACAATTTAAAACTTCCTGTTTTTTTTGTTGTGGTAAATTTCAGTTACATGGCATAGGGTTGCAACGATATAAAAAATTCTTTAAATGTATGGATTTCATACATGATTTAAATTTTGCAAATATTAAATATAAACTCTCCTTAATAATATTAACATTAACATTACATTATCATCCAAAAAGTTCTTTTTTCTTTCTTTTTTTTTTAATCTTAGTCACCTTCAAGTGAGCTCAGAAAAAAATGTAAAATTTTCATCGAAGATAAATTTAGCACGGCAACATATCCAACTAAATACTAACGGTTTTGCTCCAAATTCAGAGAAACGTAGTAAAAAAATCTACTTAGGCAACCCGCGGTTCGTGGCTATCCTCAAATCGCTTTTTCATTCCAATCTGTACTTTTGCAATTTCTTTCCTTCACACAGCATTCAACTCAATATGTGTGCGTAAAAAGTGTGCTTGTATGCGTGAAAAATATGAATTTTGTTACATGTATGTTTGTACACAGGGTTTTCCTAAGCCGTAACCGCAGGGTATTCACATATATTTGCCCATTTTTTTGTCCTTTTTTCCTTATATTAAAGTTTTGATGTTATTTTGTGAATAAAAACAAAAACAAATGGATTCAAATAGAGAAGAAACTTGAGTCTTTTTTTAATTAGCAATTATGATGATATTAAAAAAGAGCATATTTAATTGAGATTTCAAAGTTAACGCAAATACTTTCCTGTTTCAAAATAATTTTTTTTATAGGTAAGTGATTTATTTTCAAAATAAAAAAAAAAAATTTATCAAAAGCCCTCACTGCTTTACTTGCTGATGTTGTAGTACTTGTTTCTCCTCTTCAGTCACTCAAGTTGCAGCCAATATCAAATCTCGAAATTAACTTCTTTTTTTTATTTTGTTAAATCCGGCGCCAGTAACTGAGTGGTTAGCGGTGCGCGCTGCCATGAAGAAGATCGTTGGTTCGAAACCTAACAGACCAACATTTAAGATTATAAAAAATTAATTTACAAAAAAATTAATTTTTCAAAATGCAGTCACCTGTCGGTACGTCGAGTGTATTGCTGCGAAAAATATGATAAAAAGCTCATTGTATAAATCGATCGAGGGAGAGCCATTCGTAGAGGTGTATATATTTGACGCTTCCACTTGTCGTGAGTGTCTTGAATGCAGGGACCCACAGTATATTCTAAGCCGTCTGGCCGATGATTTTTTACGAGAAGGTTTTTTATTTCACGTCAGACATACGCTCGGAAGGCTGCCTGCCGAGGAGCAACCGCAATTAATTTTCTATAATTTTAGATGTTGGTCGAACTAGGAATCGATAGGCCTTCAGAATGGCTCTGCTGGCCAGTACTAACCACTCAGCTATTGCCGCTCTCTAGGGAAAAACAGCTTTGATTTGTTCTACAATAATTTCCTTACTTTAATATTTACTTGGGGCTTAAAATGGAGTCAACCTCGACCAGTTCGAGCTAAATTTTTTTATTTCCCTCCCATTTTTTTCAATATTGCTTTGAATATAAAATTTAGATTTGCTACACTATATCCGATTTTTGTGCCCCAGTGCACTGCAATTCGCAGTGAATGTATTGATAATTTCTACTTGCAAGTAATAACTTTTGCACAGCAGCATGACTAGCAATACAGCCGATAAATTGCAATAAGAAAGTGATTTTGCAAACAACTTACATACTTACACACACCTGTATATGTATGTATATAAAACAATACAAAACAAAAACAGACAATAAAATTACCTGTTTCGCTTTCGGGCTGGTATTTTGAAAATTTTCATTTCATTCGCCGCGTAACGCAGCTAAAGTGCAAAAGCGCACAACGAACAGTGCATTTTATCTACACGTAATTCCTCCAATCGTAAGCAGATTTTTAAAGGAAAAATTGTTGATCCTTAAAATAGTGCAAATATATATAAAAAAAAAAATAAATAAATAAATAATTATAGAAAAAAAAACGCTGTTAAAATAAGTAATCCTGCAGCACGATGAAACCCGCCGATTTGGATGAGCAATATGCTCGCTTTCCGGAAATCTCACGTGAAGAAATGCAAAAATTTGTCAACTGGATACACGCTCAACCGCACATGCAGAATTTATCCGAAGAGGAAGCTCTACATTTCTTCCATGCTTGTATGTACAGTATGGAAATGGCCAAACAGGTGTTGGACACCAATCTAACAGTCCGCACGCATTGTGATGACTTTTTCTCGAATTTGGATTGTGAGCGTTCAGAGCTTCAGCGCGCCATGCGGACCGTGTAAGTAGTATACACACCTAAGTGCATACATATGTATGTATATTAAAAATTAGTAGCAAACTACATGCATATATTCTACTTAATTTTTTTTCTACTTTTTTTTCATGCAATATTTTTTTGTTTATTTTTTTCCTTTATGTCCTTTTACTTTCTTTATGAATAAAATAAAATAAAATGAAATGAAATAAAAAAGGAGCATTGAATAAAATGTTATATAATATTTATTTATTTTTTTATAATTTTTTTGTTTTTGTTTTATTTTATTTCATTTTATCGTATTTCATTTCATTTTACTTCAATTAACTTTACATTGTCTTTTTTTATTTTAATTTATATTATTTTTATTATTTTTATTATTATTATTATTATTAATATTTTTCTATATTTTAATTCAATTTAACTTAGGTTATTTATTAAATAAAATAACATTGAATAAAATGTTATATATATTTATTTATTTTTTTATAATTTCTTGTATTTGTTTTATTTTATTTCATTTTATCGTATTTCATTTTATTTTAATTTAATTAATTTTATTTTGTTGTATTTTCTTTTAATTTATATTATTATTATTATTATTTTTTGTATATTTTATTTCAATTTAACTTATGTTATTTAATCAATAAAATAACATTGAATAAAATGTTATATAATATTTATTTATTTTTTTTTTTTATTTTATTTTATTTCATTTTATCGTATTTCATTTCATTTTAATTTAATTAATTTTACTTTGTTGTATTATATTTTAATTTATATTATGTTTTTATATTTTATTTCACTTTATTTTATGTTATTTTGTTTTATTTTATTTTATATTATTTTATTCAATTTTATTTTTTTTTTATTTTTTTTNGTTATTTTTTTTTTTATTTTTTTTTTTTTGATTTCATTATTTGATTTTATCTTATATCATTTTATTTTATTTAAATTATTTTATTTTGTTGAATATTTTCTTTATTTAATACTACTTAATTTCGGTTTATACTAATTTCTTTTTTTTTATTTTATTTTTTTATATTGTCTGTTATTTTCTTTTGTTTTATTTTTTAGCACTTTTCAATATATTTTATTTTATGTTTTTTTTTGTTTTTTATTCATTTTTCTTGTTTGATATTTGTTATTATTTTATTTTATTGTTTTGCATTTTATTTTACTTTATTTTATCTCATTTTCTTTTACTTTATTTCTTTCTCTAATTTAATTTTATTTCATTTTGTTGGTTTTTTATTTTATTTTATTTCACTTTAGTTTTTTTTATTTAACTCTTCCCAACCTTATTCTTTTATAAATATTTGCTTTTATTAAATAAACACATATTTTCAGTTCCATTTGTCCATTACCAAAAACAACAACTGAGGGCTATGGTGTTATAATTGGAAAATTAGCGGACACAAATACATCAAATTTTAACTTTGTAGACGGCATGAAACTGTGAGTACAAAACATTGTTGGGAACAACATTAAATTGCCTTTATTTAAAAATTGATTTAAAAAGAGGGCTTTCAACGTACAAGAGTAGTAGTGGGAGTAATTATATGCAGCTTAATTTGGAAAAGCAATTAAAATTAAAATAAATGAAACATGAAGAAATGCCAAATTATCAGAAAAATCTTTGTCTTTTACGCAGCCGGTAGTATTTTGTGATTTAAGCGATCTCTTTCTGTTCTTACTCTCATAATTGTTGAGCGCCTTTGAAATAATTAACTCACTTAATTAATGGACTTTGTTAAAAAAATATCTCCATTTAAATTTTATAAAAGGATTTTTTTGCTGGTTGTAAAACATTTCAATTCTATAATTTTCTACACGTGTTTCATTTAATTCTATCCAGTATTATTTATCATATTGTTTAAATGTACTTGTTTTTATTGTGTAATTAAAGTAATTTATAAGTCAAATAAATAACATTAACTTATTAAACTGCTAGATTATGAATTAATAACTAATTAACTACCGCTTTTAGGTGCATGCCCAGATACATAGATATGTACATAGATATATATTAATACTTACAAGTATATTTTATATTTCTAGACACACGAGAATTTATATTATATGCACTAAAATGTATGTTTGTGTACATTTTGCTTTAAATTCCAGCCTTTATGACAGTTTGAAAAGATATTTATATGTACATACATACTCGTATACATAAGTACACGCAAATCTCGTTGCTATGTTTTCTATGTTTTTAAATAATACTGTAATTTAAATACTAAATACTCATATTAAGTAAATCGCCTTAAATGCAATATTTGTACATATTTATATACATATTTATATAATACATATACATATTTATATAATACATATGTATTTACATAGATATGTGTATCATACGTGCCAGAATGGGAAGACAAGTCGATTAACCGCTGTTTCTAATACGCTCAAGGGATAGCTTGAAAGTTATCTTGACTAGACTTGATGTATCCATTCCTTAGTGGTTGATGTCGCAAACGGACAAAATTGGATCATGATTACGCCCACAGGAATTATAATTCTCATATCTAAACAAATGCTTGGAGGGGCTATATGATGAAGTTTTCCAAACTGGATTTTTGTTGGTACTCTCAGTTGGTTTTTTGACCAAAACCCTCATATCTGAAAAAAAAAACCGGTTGTATGAGAGCTGTATGATATAGTTCTCCGATCTCAATAACTTTCAGTATCAATGAGTACAGAATGCCACATTTTACCCTGTTAAATTAATGTAAAGTATAAAATAAACTGTAGGTCCCTCCATTTGTTGGAAAAACATTCAAGACGTGAAATCACACATTCGAGAAGGAGCTCGGCCGAAAATCGCTTCAGCGGTTACTTTAGCAGTGAGTAAAAAGTAGCGACGCAAATTTCTGAATTTTTGGTCACTCTTCTATGTACCATTTTACAGGTACCGTTTGATGCTTTTCCAATCAAATGGCAGCTACGATTTTAGATCGGGTGAAGTAAAGTAGACTTGCTCCTGTTGTACCCAATGCTGCTGTTTGGTTTCTGAAGCGGTCTCATAGAACCAAGAATCGTCACCAGTAACAGCAACCAGTAAAGTTGCTAGTCTGTCCATTTTTGAATATTTTTAGGAAAAATTTTGAAAAATGCACTCACTTTTTGGACCTCATTTAAAACTCGTGGGACCAACTATTAATATTCTCTATACAGCCATGGCATTCAAGCCCAAATCATTAGCAATCATTTAATCGTTAATCGTGGGTCTTCGTCAATTTTAGACTTCACCAGAGCAACAGTAACGTCATCAGTTGAAGATTTTGGTTGACCTTCTTAGGGCTCGTCCTGTACGAGAAAATGTCCGGCCTGGAATTTTCGGAACCACTTAGAAATAGGCTTTACAGATGGTGTAATCGTTCCATATGCTATTTGGCATTCACTGAATATTTGTATTGGCTGTAAAATACGCCGAAACCCGAAGAAAATCGCATGGCGAATTTCTGTTTGCGTTGGTGATCGAATATGATCTGACCTATCCTCAGCTATCTAGCGTTTTCTCGTCTCCATGTTAGGCGATCGTTCTAAAATTTGAAAGGAACAATAATAAAAACGAAATTGCAAAGGATTTGGTATTTTTAGATTTAATAAAAAACAAATTGAAATTCACCAATTTACCGAACTCGTATATTCAGAGTATAGTAGAAAAAACCTTCATCCACTCTTCGTTTAAGATTTCAGCTATCTTTAAACTTGATGTTAGTAACCAACGCTGAAAAGCAGCGATCTGAGACACTCCCACTTGGCTGGTAACGAATAAAAGAACCTTACGAAAGCTCCACAGACTGTGTGTACGATCAAATGACTTCAGCAGAAGTTGAAGAGGTAAGGTAGAATATGAAAAATTGCACATGCCATGTGCCATAGAGAAGTAGATTAAGGTCTCTAGTGGCGGCAACCTATAGTGACTTAAACGAATTATCGTCGAGCAAAGCTACGCTGCCGAAATAGCCGAGTGATTAGCATTGTGTATTGCGATTCGGAAGGTCAGGACTCGAGTTCTGGTTCGACCAACATCCCAAATTATAGAAAATTCATTGTTTTAATTGCGGTCGCCCTCCGCCAATGAATGTCAAGTCTTCCGAGTGTTGGCAAAACATTGAGACACATACCACAAATTGGTGGATGAACGCGGCCAAGAATCGCTTCAGCGCTTGCAAAGCTTTTTCAATTTTCAATTTTGAATAATCTTATTTTCTTTTTTCTCCAATTACAGTTATTGCATGATTTTCGATATGTGGATGTATGAGGATGGCATTCGTCCAGGTCATATTATGGTAATGGATTTAAAGGGTGTTACTTTGGGACATGTAGCACGCATTGGCATATTTCAAATGAAAAAATTTCTCTTCTATCTGCAAGTGAGTGATTTCATACAGGAAAGCTAACAATTTCACTTATAATCAATGTTTATTACTTTTCTAATATTTAGGAAGCAGCTGCCATTCGTTTGATTGGCTTCCATTTCATCAATATTGTGCCGTTCATGGATAAGATTTTGGCACTGATGACACCGTTCATGAAGAAGGAGTTAACCAGCATACTTCATGTTCATAGTAATTTGGAAGATTTCTTCGAATATGTACCACAGTCGATACTGCCAAAGGAATATGGTGGGCCAGAACCTGAATGTTCAGAATTGAAAGGTACCCAGCAGTGATATTACATTTATTGAATTCATACAGTCAGCTAATAATTGTTTCCTTGCATTTCAGAAAAAGTTTACTCAAAGCTCAAGGACAATCGCGAGGATATGATAAAGTTCGAAAAACGCCATAAAGTGAATGAGAAATTGCGTCCGGGCAAACCAAAAAATGCTTCGGATCTATTCGGGATTGAGGGCAACTTCAAAAAATTAGATATTGACTAATTAAAATGTGTGCAATAATTGTAGTATTATTATTTTTTTTAAGTACACACATATATTTTGGGCAGTACTTATACACAACTTGAAGTATCTTAATAAATATGGTGATTGATTCATAATATACTTTCAGTGAATTAAAGCTTAAAAGTCAAAATAAAGTTGAAAAGTTAATTTCAGTATTTATTTTTCAAATAAAAAAATTTATAAAATTGAAAATAGTTAAATTGATGCCGAAGTGACTTTCACATTGGAGTCACTAATCACCCTGTCGAAAGTGGCCGACATATACAGGTTTGTAACCGCTGAAGCGATTTTTCGGCCGAGCTTGTTGGTGTTTTTCCAACAAATGGAGGGACCTACAGTTTATACTATGTCGCCTCCGAACGGCTTACGGATTTCTGCGATAAGCTTTTTATTTTAAGTCAGAAATGCACACGAAGGGCTTGATATTCCCTGCCAAAACGAATGCAATTAGAAAAATACTTGAAGCCCAGTACGCATTCCTAACCACTCGGCTATTGCGAACACCACTATAATCTACTATATTTTAATTGTTCGACGAAAAATGTGATGTGAGGTCAGAATACTTCAGCGGAAAAGGTTGGCTGTTGAACATGCCATGCAGTAGATGTGCAAAAGGCAGTTCGAATTAGTCACAAAGGACATATTAAAATTGCACTCTCTTGGTACAAATTTTACTGGCGTTTTGCCTCACTGAACGCAGCCCGTCAAAAATTGATAGCAAATGTTACTGTCGATCAGCTTCGGTAAGCAGGACTAATGAAAGTAAAGAGGTTAGTAGGATCATTAAAGCGGTCCTGTCCAACGAAATTTAATATTAGGACCACCCCCAAGTGTACGAATAGACGATATAACCCCGCACCTGACTTTCGGGAAGCTTTTGTCAGCTACAATAGCTGGAGCAAAGGTCTGAGATATACAGCCAAAACGATTCATATTTTTACAAGCGGTTCTGAAATAAAGGAAGGAATGTGCCCAACTAAAGATTAAAGTCGTTTAAGCAGGCCTTCAAAGGAAGAGAGTATAAATTTATGTTGTTGGTCACACTGCCATCAAGGCTTTAATTTCATATAGCACGATGTCGGCTGTTGTCGCAATATAAAAAAAATACTATCCGAAAACAGAAGAGTTTACATTTACTGTGTACCAGATCAAAGATGTAACTAAGAAGGGTATCTAGCGGTAAAGAGGCCGGGTTGTAGGCTGCTGGTAGAACTGGTAATGGGGAATTGCATGCTTGTAATATACGTCTGACTGAGGACCACAGGTGCAGGATATGTGGGGAATTCATGGAGACAGTGGAGTACGTAATCTGTGAGTGTCGAGCATTCTGCAGACAAAGACTGTGCTTATTTGGCGCAGAAAGACTGCATCACCTTCAATCGGCAATGTACAAGGGGTCAAAACGACCATTTCAAATTGCAAAAAGAAGAGCAGTGTTATTCGTCTCCCTTCGCCACTGATCTTTCCAGTTGAGTTTAAATCTTCTTCTTCCCCTACATCTTGTATTTTTCAAAGGTAGAGAGTTTTCGGCCACGTCCTATAATATCTCTTTCATGTCGACCATAAACTTAGCACCTTGAAACTTTCACAATAATTTGCTCTCGAAAAATTCGATAACCGTTCCCGGTTCTGACGGAACTTAAAACCAAATACCAAAACCAACCTAGAGATTTCATCTCTTCTGCTTAAAAGTTAAAGAAAAGGAATGGTGTTTCTACCATTTTTTTTTTGTTCTTTTACAGGTGATGATGCATTGGAAACAACTGGTCCTACCACATCTAGAATCATTAGAATACGATTCTGGTGTTTTTATGTTCGCGAAATGGAAGATTAGATGTTGAAATTAGAGGTGGAAATTCCCTGCCGAGGGGCAACCATAATTAGAAAATTTAATTTAATTTTTTATTTAAATTAATTTTCCATAACTTTTGGATGTTGGTGGCACTGGGATATGACCCGAGCCTTCGGAATATCAATACACAATGCTAACCACTCGGCTACCGCGGCCGCCATAAAAAATTGATTTCTTTTCGCCGATGCTTTATCATCGGTGATAAATTTTTACCCTTCTTTTTTTGTCATTTTGGAAACAGGATTCTCCACCCAATTCTACGAGTTGCTTGTTCTCTAGTGGAACATCATCGAGGACAGGATACGCGTGAGCAGACTATCTCACCAAAGTCCCCAATTCGTTTCTGACCATCCTAAAAATACCTGACATGTGGAAAAAGGGGTGGAGTGATCCCGTTAATGAAACCAAGAAACCAGCCAACAAAGAAAAATCATATCAGCCCATATCTCTCCTCCCCTTAGGCACTTGCGGCCTTGCGGCTCCTGACTTTCACACACCTTCTAAGCCCAGCAGCATATCTACATGGCTTCCGAGAAGTGCCATGGGCTCAATCAAAACCAGTCCACTCAGACTTACCCAACGTACATATGGCCTGCATTCAGTGACTTCCAGCATTACATTAACCATTTACCACAACCTCTTTGCATGTCTCTTAAAACCAACTCATCTAACCTCTCTTTCCATCTGATTCAAACCCACCGAAACAGCTCATTTACTTTACCTCCGGTTAGATGATTCGATGAGTTAGATTGATCTTGATTGCTCTAAAGAGAAATTAGTGAACCGATCCAAAAACAACAGTATGATTTTGCTGAACAGCACTTCACATCGAACTTTCGTAATTTAGGTTTGTAACCAAAAAATGAGATTTAGATTTATTAATGCGTCGCATCCAGGAACTTGTCACGATTCTCGAATCCTCCTTATTAACACCTAATCGAAAACCTGAAGAAGGAAGTGTACAAGCAAAATTTAATTAAGCTCATTCTCGGTGCCGAAACACAATAGGACATTGAATTGGATTGCTTAAAACCCCATGGAGGTGCTTGCTCGGAGCTAGAGAACTCTATTATAGTCCACAAAAAGCAGCTAAAATATTCAATGTGCGCGTAATGCTACATAATTTATGTATTCACTTCAAAAATGGCTTTGCTGATATAGTTGAGATACCAGGATTTGTTGAAGAGGAATCTCATGTGACTATAGCGGAGAACGACACAGATTTAGGAATGCAAACAATGATAATAACTCAAGCACCAAGTATTAGAAACCAGATAGCTCACTCACTCCCTTGAAAAAACAGTATTCCTTGAAATTTACACAAAAATTCATTTATTCATTTATTATAAATCTATTTCAATGAAATTAAAATGGATTTAAAAGTAAATATATGTAAATAATGAAAAAATTAATATTTCCAAATGAATTTCCATTAATGACATTAAAATTAAAAGATAATAAATATTAAGTTATTCTTTCATTGCTTAAAGCTTCAATTCTTCAATTTCTCTAATTCTTCTAATTTGTCCCGCATTAAATGTTAATTTCTTTTGTACGTAACGTTTTTGATCATTCCATAACTTAAAAAGATTTTTGGTGATTTTTTTTTTAAATTCTACTAACCATTGCTAATTTTAAAATTACCCTTTTCATACACCGCTTTAGTGGGAAATCTTCGACCAATTGCTTCCATAATGCTGTCCCTTGTTTGGAGCAGCAGGCCGCTAAATCAGGAATTTCTTCCATTTCGGCAATCAAAATTTCTGACTGAGTTTTATTTATCGATTTTGACCTTAAAATAGTTGTTTTTCCAAATTAAAATTGTTACAATTTACCTCATTTTTAGTGATACTTACATTATTTAAATAAATTTCGAGCACAAAATTGTAACGAACAACTTCATCAAAAATAATTGATATTTGTTTCACCATTGACGTCGATAGGATGGAAAAAAATCGATGTGGACAGTTTCACATGGTGAATGTTCAAAATAGCATGAATGAACGGCATAGGTGAAATGTGAATCATTCCACTCGAAATGAAAATACACGATAAGGCCGAATAATTAAGAAGCTGACCGCGTCTGCTTTAACATAAGAAAATAAAGACTTTCACAATCTAATATTTAAAATATTTTCGCAATTTATTTTATTACTTTAATTTATGGAATTCAAAATATGTTAAGTCCAGTTTCTTGAGCGTAATATATACATACATATAAATCTATTGTAAATGTGTAATTGTTTTATGTTAATAGTTCAAAAAATCTATAACTAAATAAAGTAGTATGAAATATAAAAAAGCTAAAAGAAAATTAAGGAAATTAAGTCTAAACATTCATTGATTATTGCATAGTTGTTTGTGTTATGTTTTCGTAATCATAAGCAAATGTAATATATTACACATATATGTATTTTTGACATATAAAATATGTACATATACAATTATATGTTACTAAATTGTGTACGATTACGTTTTTTTTTCTATATGTATAGGTTTAGTGATAATCACAATTAAAAACTAATCACGTCGTTTCCTAATATTTTCTTGTGGATATTTAAAATAGTACTCCACCCTCGAGAGTACTTAATAATTACAACTATTTTCGTTCCAGTAGACGTAAATATGTTTTTATTCTTGAAAAAGTACGTTTCAAAGAATTTCTCATAAATTAAACGATGTGAAGATGGTTTATGAGGCAAATTACAAATGAGTGTGAATGCGACTTTATACATATGTTTGCATAGTATATGTTATTATAATCTTATTTTTAATTCGTAAACTTTTTGATGGTTTCCATATATCCATATATAACTGTTTAATATGTACAGAATACTTTTAAACTACCTAAAAGCTTATTTTATTCTATAATTCCAGAAGAGTACATAAGCTATATATATGTATTGTGAAAGCATACATATATACATAGCATATAATACGGTTTTAAAGTCTAGCAGAAACGTTTATATTTCTATATATGTATATACTACCATAGATGTTAAACCTATTCGAAAATCCAGTTACTTTAATTGCTAAACTAAATAATAATAATATTTACAAATCAAAAAAAAGGTAAATCTATTTAGAATCAGAAATAAAATTAAAATTCAAGATGTCAATTTGAAAGCAATTTCAAGTGCACAGCACTTCGTTGTAATTGTTTTTATAAGGGTTACGCATACGATGGCTATAATATTTGCACACCCTTCTAGGCATTTATGAATACCCAGACTCAATCATTCATCCGTCAAACTTTTTTATTTTCCGTACAAGTGATATCGAAAGCGGACTAGCATCGGCCATTGCTATTGCTGAATGTGCATTTGTTGCTATTGCTTTGGGAAATTGTGCAACGGAATTTGATAGTTTCTTCCTCGTCGCTGTGACAGTTTTTATTTTGCGGCTCATTGGCGGGACAGTACCTGGACCGGTGCTGCCGCTACAGCTTGCCGTTTGTGGAGCATTTTTCGTGTGTGCTATTGGTGTTTGTTTTTCGCCGACATTTGTGCACCCGGCCACTGCTCATCATCACATTTGCGTCGGCCGCATCATGCCGCAAGGCATGGATGTTGCCGTCCCACTCGTTGTATTGTGCATTGTGGCCATTGTTTGTTGCATAGCTTGTGCTGCTGCTGCAGCTGCACGATTTCGCGAGTTACTCCTGCCCATGGATATATTCGATGTTGTACCACTTCCACTCATCATGCGATGTTGCTGATGCTGCTGCTGCTGCTGTTGTTGTTGCTGCGGCGGTGCCATTTGTGTCATTGCTTGTGTTAGGTTTGAGCCCGGCGCAGTTAATGCGGCCATATTCGCAGCGCCGGAATTGCTATTAGGAGCTGCGCTGGTAAGTTCCCAACTATTGCCGCGTTGCACAAGTGCTGTGATGGGCAACTATTGTGATGAAAGAAGGAAATAAATTCGATTAAAGATTTATAAATTGTTATGTCTAGGTATATACACGTGTAACCAGCTTATAGTACAATACACCGAAAAATCCCTGCGGGTTAGGGGTTCAAGAATTTACCCGCGGTAAGGCATGCCTGTCGTAAGAAGCGACTAAAATCCAATAGTTCCCGCGGCAGTCGGGTCTTTATACCGAAACGACCCGGATTTCCCAAAAAGAGCTTTGGCGAATAATTTTGCGGTTACAACAACAACAATACACTGAATTTTTTCAAATTCACTATAAAAATCAATCGAAAAGTCAGTCGAAAAATCCTCTCATTAAGATTTATTGTTGAAAAGACTATGGTACGGCGGGTCATTGTACCTTAGTTTTTCGAAAATGGGCCTGCAGCAAGTTACGGTGAATGGATTGCGCTATCGGGAGATGATTAATGATTTTTTTAAGGCCGAAATTTTAATCTGGACAACGTTTATTTTAAGCAAGGCGGCGCTACGTGCTACACAAGCGATCTATGTTTTGAAGAAAAACCTTGTTATCTCTCAAAGAGGTGATCGCAATTGGCCTTCGAGGTCTTGTAAGTTAACACCTAGGGGCCACATGAGAGATACGTCTACGCCAACACAACAACATCAATTCAAGACGTTAACGATGGAGTTTGTGATGCTGTTAAGGGCATTCAGCTGCCACTTTACGATTTGATGACAGAAAATTTCATTAAAAAAAAGATACGGTGCTATAAGCGTAGCCCTGGCGGCGATTTAGCTGATATTGTTTTCCATTATTAATTTATCTCATTTATCAAAACAACACCTCTTATTAGAAAACCCTGTACTATTATGTTTTATATTTGGGAAATCAATTTTTTTCTTTCAAATCTGACGCCATCTTTTTCACGATAATTTAACCTCAAGCAAAATTTTTTCAAAATATATATATTGCTAAATTTGCTTAGGGGAACTGGGAAGTAGTTTCATTCCTTGTGGAGGAGCAACAGGATTTAGAAATATTTTACTATGGTCGGTATTTGACCCCTACATACTTTGATTTATAGCACGCACTAAAAAATAGCAGTCATCTTAAGAATTTTAAAGTCAGTTTCTGGTGGTTTAAAATACATGTAAAAAAAGCTCATTACGTATATACGCCTTCTTCCATACTTTCGCTTGAATATCTGAAAAAACAATCGTCCATTTAGAAATGGCAAAAAGAAATAAGAATATGAAGGAAATTTAGTTGAAAGTAGCTTGGACCAGTCTCTTCTTGAGAGGAACAAGAGGAAAGATCAAAGTATCTTTCAAAAGTTAAACATTTTTAGTTTCTGAGCTTCTCAAATTATAGCAGTAAAGGCTACAAAAGTACAGAAAAATTAAAAAAAAACTGCAAATTACTTTTAAAACGCTCTTTATAAGAATATTTTACCCTACGTTTTTCTAAGTGATTTGTACATACGTACATACACACCTATGTGGAATACATATCGAATGAATATCGTTTAATCGCTTACCGGAATATTGACCCGCTGCACTGAGTACGTTGAACCACGCATATTTCCACCTCCACCATTATTATTGTTTCCAACACTGCCGCCCTGCGTAACGGTACGCAAATACGTATTGGAGGGTAATTTCAGCAATTCAGTCGGTGCACCGGTTGGTACTGACACACCAGCGGCAATGGAGGACATCGAGTTGTTACCCGTACTACTGACGCCCATTGAATTTGCTACGGATTGCTGATGGTTAACTTTTTGTTTTTCCTTTTTATTACTCAACGTATTCTTGTTATAGTTGTGTTGTGACACATTCATTGAAGTTGGATTGGTGACTGCCATCATGTTGCTAGCATTTTTACTACCACAACCAGTTTGTTGTAGCTGCTGTTGTTGTTGCTGCTGTTGCTGTTGTAACCCCATTGCAGATACTGTTGTTGTCATGGTGCTTACCGTTTTTGCCAAACTATCGCTAGCACTGGCAATGGTCGGTCGTGTTTGTGCACATGTTGCCGAATGACGCGACCAATGCATCTGCTGACAGGGATAATCACAATATGATGTATTCCAGCAGCAATAGAATTGTGCTTCGCGCCCGCAATTTGAGCACCATTGCTTCTTCTTGGTTTCATCAATGGATCGCAAACGTTCTTGCTCACATTGCTTGCGAATTTCGTTGGAAATTCGCGTCTTCTCGTTTTCCATACTTTTACGCATTTCGCATATCATCAGATCGGAGGTACGTTTCAGTTCAGCTATTTCTTGCTCATATGCCTGTTTGGTGCGTTCAAGTTCCATTTTCAGAAGTGTTATTTTAGCTTGCAACACCGGCTCTTCGCCGAGAGACATTTCTAGCATAGTATCTTCCATGACCGATATAAAAAAGTCCGTTAACTAATAGAAAAAATTAAGTATTAGTATACGAATGGTCATAACAAAACATTCCATTTGCTCATGTTTTCACATTTAAAAGTCGCTAGCAAAGTTCTATGTTATAAATTTTTTCACTTACCTTATGCGCGTTCTCCACTAACGTCTGACAAACAGGCCCTGCTTGGGAGGGAAACATAGTCGTGCCATCGGATTTCAGTGGACCATTGGGACGTTGCACCATTTTTGGTGGTCCTCGACATATGGCATCCGTAACCATGGCCGTGAAACTAGGAGTGACGAGATCACCACTTGATGTACTTGCCACACCACTCGTACTGCTCGAAGTGCCTGCCTGCTGTGTAGCTAACTCAACTGTCGATGATAGGGTAATATTGCCACTGCCAGTGCTAACGCTATTATTAGTATTGACGTCGAAAAGTGGCATATTTGTTGTTATAGCCGCTACCGCTGGGGTTGCTATCATATTAGAAGATGACTGAGAGAGACCCGCCAACGGAGGTGGTGCTGACATAGTGAGAGGTGTAAGTAACGCCGGTCCATTTGGACCTATAGTGCCATTGCAAGTGACAAAGGTGGTTGCTATTGGTGTAGTGTTGATTGCCATATTCGCATTCATATTGGAGTTGACACTGGAACTGCTGTTGTTGCTCAATACGGTCAAAGCTGTAGATGTTTTAGAGACTGCTGTTAACGGTGGCACTGGTATTGAATTCGTATTCGTGTTGCTAATAACAATGTTGGCATTACGTTGCTGATCATGTGGTGACCAAGCTTGTCTTGGTATGGAAACCATGCTGTTCTTCAATAGAGTCCGTTTCAAATCATTATTATTTGTTAATGAAGATGTAATGGGTGGAGGTAAAGCAGGAGGTGGCAGCGGTAGATTAGAACCATTGCCTCGGATCGTACTGATGTCGGGAGTGCTACGATTAGGGAATGATTTTCGTGCGCGTTGTAGAGGCGCCTGAGACGATTCGGACTGAACTTGAGAAGTTGACTGCGGCGAAGTTTGTGACGATGACTGAGGCTGGGTTTGCGACGAAGACTGTGTCTGTGTTTGCGACTGCAACTGAGATAAATTCTGTTGCTGTTGTTGTTGCAATATCATCCGACTTGCTGTGTTACTCGAAGCAACGCTTTTCGGTGGTTGGGATTGTTGCGTTATAATAGCCGAAGCTGGCAATGGGCCGTATGGTACACCGCGAGTATTTGGTCGCTTATTGGGCTGGTTAACATGCATTGCCGAGGAACCAGGTGTCAAGCCATCCATGACGGCGCCTGATTCCTGTGTTGCCTTCTCGACTGGCTTAAGTGCAACCAAACTAGGCTGAGAGTTCCGCAGATTTTTCGTATTAACCCGTTGTATCATAGTCTCACCCACGCGCACAGCATCAGGCAACAAATTCGTGGTCATCACTCCAGACTGGTTATCAACCGCCACATCTCCAAGAGTTGAAGATGTGCTTACTTCTTGCTGAGAAGAAGATATAGACGCTGTACTATAAGGAACCCCAACCGCTTCTTCCTCATCAGACATCACTTCCTGTTTGACGAGTGATAAGTTAGGCTCCACACTCGGTGTAGAGGTTGCAGGCAGAGATTCTTGTAATGGAGTTTCTACAATTGCCTGTAGGGTTTGCATAGTCGAGGGTGTGGTCGTAGCAACTACATCCTTTTGTTTATTATTTTGAATGTCCATGTCGGGGGCGGGTTGTGTTTCCGCTTCATCGTCTGATGTAATTTCTTTTTTAATCTCCACAAAAGGTACCAAATCCTTTAGTATATGCGTGTTCGTTGCAGATTTCGCTGTACCTTTCAAGTTTCTTTCAGAATTTTTTGTTATACTATTGCTGGTATCAGCCTCCTGGTTAGGGTTTGTGTCGTTAACGGGATTGTTTTTATGCACAGCTACATCTTGTGGTGATTCTATTGCAGGATCTGCTGCCGCATCCGTTGATTTCTTCTCTACAGACTGTCCGCTTGGTTGCGTCTCATCTGTTATTGGTCCAGTCCCTGCTACATTTGTCGAGTTTGTAGATTCTTCTGGCTTCTTCAGTCCCTCTTTCGATATTTTCTTAATTGTCACGCCGTGTTTATTTTTAACCAAATTCTCCATCAATTTTTGGGCATTATTATTACTAGAGTGTGTCGTTATAGGCGTTAAAGATGCTGCAATAGCCACCTCTTCTTTTACCGAGTTAGATATCTTTGTTTCCGTACTTATAATGGCCGACATTGAGTTGTTTGGATTTGTTGCCGAACTCCTAGTCGAAGACTTTGTTTCGGGACAAACAACTACCCCCAATTCTTTTACATTTGTTTTTATTGTAATCATTGGTACCCGTGGTTCATATTTAGCGTACTTGGTGCGTTGGCCCCCAGCTGTTTCCATATTAGCGACGCCATCTATACTACTACAATTTGTGTTTGTACTACCATCACAAGGATCGTCAATATTCTTGCGCTTACCCGTAGTATCGGCGCTAATCTGCTCTGCACCAGCATTAGCATGATCTGTAGTGCTAGTATTAGCCAGCTGCCCACTTTCATCCCCTTCCTCATCAAATTTTATCATCTTCGGCATGGGCAGCTCAAGTTCATCATTTGCTTCCTTTTTATGTTCAGTAGAAGACTTGCGTTTCAGTATAACCGCTGTCACTTTTGAGGAATTGCTATCATCGGAGCTTGCTTTACTGACCACCTCATATTTAGGTGTTACTACAGTTGTTTTGGCATCAGAAGCGCCACTACTACCACCGCTTGTACATGCAGCAGTACTACTTGCTTTCTTGTGCGGACTAACAGAATGATCCGAATCATTACCCGACTCCGTTGTACTCGCCTTTTTTATAATCGACAAATGATTATCGGCTGTCTTTACAATTTTATACTGCAAGGAAGGTTTTGGCACCAATGCCTGTTGCCTTTTCATATACTCCGTAACGCCGGGTATCATCATTTCCAATTGTTGCAATTCATCCATCGGCTCATATGGTGTTTTAAATTTTGCATATTTAAAAGTGCCAACTTTACTTTTGATCTTCTCAATATGCACTTCAACCTCTTTAATGCAATCAGCGAGCTCTCTTGCCGAACGTTTTCCAGTTTGTGTATTCGGATCCTGTTCCGAATAGAGGAAACAATCTTTGACCGGCACAAAAGCGCGATCGTGTTCGCCGAAAAAACGTACATTCACATGGGAAAGCCCTTGACCCGGACCCATTGCTTTAGCTGGCCAATAGGGAAATCCTTTCAATTTGGCCCAAAGTAAGAGATGTGGTTGTGAGCAGACATCAACAAACCAATCGGTACGCGTATTTGCATTTAAATAACATTCAGCACAGGTATCGATTTCATTAGTCTCCTGACGGCATACTTTCAGTATGGCTTTAGCAGTAAACACCTCTTTGCTAGAACCTTAAATAATAATGATAAAAATTATATATACAATTATAAAATCATATACTATATATGTATGAATGTATATGTATATTCATTAATGCTAACTCACTGCCACTGCTTAAGATGAGCGCATTATGTAGTATCCATTTTGTTTCGTTGAGGAACTCTTCTGCACAGCGGAAAGCGCGTTTCTCGACTTTTTCTTGCAGCGTTGTGAACGTAACTGGATTTGCAATATATTTGGAGTAATGCAATAGATCACGGTCGGTATATAGGAACTTCGAATACTGGAATTGAATGGAAATAAAATTATTAGTACATTAATTAAAAATTAAAAATGAGCTAATTACAGTTTTCATTAATCCTAATTCTTTATTTAATCATGTTTTTTTTTTGTTTTTTTTTTCATTTATTGCAACAGAAAATAAAATATTTTCACGTTGAACAAAATTAAAAAAAAAAGTTGTTTGCAGTAAAGGTTTTTTGCGTGTTGTTATGTAAAATTCCGCTACCCTAAATACAGGCAACAAGTGGAACTTTTCATAGGGTTGCCTACACTTAGGCGTAATGAAAGCTAGAAATTTTTAAAGGTGGTTGTTTAAAACGGTGTTAATTACACGAAAAAATATATATATAAAAAAATCGATATATAGGCAGAATTCGGGGAATCTTTAGAGAAATATACCACTTTGGAGGAGACGGGACACTTCCCACCAATGAATTAAGCTTTTGATTGATAAAACTATGTCTCTCCTGGGATTTCTAATAAACGCTAAGAAAGCTCTTGGAAAAGGAGAATTTCTTTTTTTACCTTTTTAGTATATTGTATTTTGCCTAAAATAGACGAATTTATAGGAAAATAACTACTCAAAATTAAGGGGCGTACCTAGTGTGAAATTTAAAAAAAAAATCGATCTTTTTTTCATAGATAGGTAGATTACACCTTTAAAAATAACATATTAAAATTTCAAATCGATATCTCAAATAGTTTTTGAGTTATAGGAATTTAAAGAGCAGCTTCTCGGCAGCTAGAGAGTGAAAACAATCTTTTTATCTTTAAACGCGTTTTTCTCGAAAGAGCATTTTCCGAATTGGCTGCAGTGATTACTCAAAAACCAATAATTCGATCACTATCGAACTTTTTTACATGTTCTATATATAGTTCTCCGTACAATGACCTATCGATTTTTGATCTGATCAAAATACTGAATTTCGGCATGCCAAAAACGACCAAAATTTTGGGTAAAATTCGACTATTTTTTTTAAAACGCCGCCATATTCACCATATATCGAGGCCCTGCAGCAGTGAAGGACCTTTTTTCGCGCCGTTGGAGATCGACTAAAACTTAAAAAATACTTAATTTTTTTCTTCAAAAATTTCACTGTATATTCTTGAAACATGTATAAATATATTCTTAAAATTTTGAAATAATTTATAAAGTATTTATTCCCAAAAATCACATTTTTTAGGCCATTGCACTAGGTGTGATCCTTAATAGGAAAAAATTACACTTTAATCAAGAATTTAAAAAAAAAAAAAAATTCAAAAATCATACCTTCTTGAAACATAATTGTTAAAACTTGAAAGTATACTTGTATCCCAGCTAATTTTTTTAAGTGTCCTATTAAAGCTACTATAACTAGTTACAAGTGAAACGTTTTTTTTTTAATTTGGAAGCCTTCGGCTGCGCTATAAAAAAATAACCCTGGGCCGGACCAGCAGCGGATTCGCCTTAAGTTAAAGACCTTTATATTTGCCATTCTGAATCGAATTAGAATCAATTAAAGGTTTTTAATTGATAACAAATATTTTGACATAATCAATAGTATGAGAGAAAATTAAGCTTTAAGTTGAAAAAACTCGTCCGGTAACTAGCACATTTACCCTGCCTATTTAGGGAGAAGGACAAGCCAACCAACCAACGCATCTGGCCCCTAAATATCTCAAAGCTCTATCATTAATCATTGTTACAATACACATATGTATATACATATGTATGTGTTTATTATGCATATTTGATCCAAGGGAAAACAGTTTGTGTCAATTTCCATTTAATAGATATCCGCATATCATATACATATGTATGTACGTATGTAGTATGTTGGTATATACGGAAATAGATGTGGCAGATAAAACCAAACCAATGTCTGCAAACACTTTGTGTATTGCTACGTGTGGGTTTCATACATACATACCTATGTAAGTACATTTAATATTTTTAACAAAATGATTACAAAACCAACAATATGAGGATAATAGACAAATGCATGAAATGAATGGATGTTGTGGAAAGAGCTGCACTTGCACAGCCATTCACATATATATACATATACATATGTATATGTGCTTATACATATATACATATAAAAGTGCATATACATACATATTTCAGCTCTAACCGGTAAATTCGCCGCAAAACTATAAGAGAGAATGCAGATATGAACACATCGTGAAGAGAATCCAAGTAAAGAGCAAATTACATTCATATAAAAAAAAAGGAAGAGAAGATGAAACAAGTTTGCCACAAACACAAAACCCGGATATAATTGCTGATGGAATTACTAATACCAACCACGTACATAAAGATTTAATACAACAAATCGAATGTAACATGCCAACAAATATATTTAATATGTGAACACAAATGTACTTATATTTAAGTTAGCATAAAAATAAAAAAAATTTTAATATATAATTTATGGAAATAATAATTTTGCACATTGCAGCTAAATACTTTTCTCATTATGCCGCATATTATAAAGGGTGTAACAAAATTAACGCAAGATTTGGATGTATTTAATGATTCGTAAGATTCAATGAAAACACACAGTCTGTAGACTAGCTAAAAGTCATGTTTTCTATTTAATTATTATTTTGCGTTAATTTTCAGACACCCTATCTTTCTTTTTTTAACTCGTCTTGGGCTCGATGGCTACATAACTACTGAAATATCTCATTTTTGTACGATAGATTCAGTACCAGATGATAGTAAAAGAAAAAAAATATATATACATATGTACATACATATATAGATCTTCTACTCAGATTATGTTTACGTGCAAAGAAGGTCAAACAGCTGATCTAGTGATTCCAACTGGTGAAGCATTCACTTTTTTCTCTGTACCTAATGCATAAGTACGTATGTACATATGTACTATTTACATAAGTAAATGCGCTTGATGCGACCAAGCCGGGCAAAAGCTATTATTTAGAAATGGTGTTGCCATATTTACCACGCCACCTGTAACTTCGTTCACACAAATAATTCGAAATTATTCAATTTATTAATTTTTTTAGTTAGTGACTATTTTTCAATCTCCATATTTCAAAACAAAGACAATTTTTTTTCTATTTTAAATGCTCAAAAATAATAAGGAAATGCAGTAGGTACCTGCATGAGATTTGCTGGTCCAATGAGACTTCTGAATGGTTATTATTATTTTTTTTTTAAATAACAAAAAATAGATTAGTGTTTGTTTGTGTTAGATTTTGTGCCCACCCTGTCCCTTTCCCATCCATGCCTGACGGAACGTGCATTGTTTCACACTATTCTTTTCGTTTTCTTCTACATATTTATTAATAAATATTTAATTTTAGTTAAATGAATAATAATTGTAATAAATTTGTATAACAAATATAAAAATTCATAACCTTTTAACATATGTACATATAATATTTGAAGAAAACTGCGTAGGTTTGCTTTATTTTAAGGAACAAAGATTTTGTTAAAACACTTCTTAGTCTTGAATTGGCGAACAAACATTTTGAAATTAATAATTTTATTAGATTAGAGAAAAAATTTTAAAAAGCTGCAGTTTTTTCGATGTAGATGCTAGCGTATTTCTATTTAACAATAAATAATGTATAAGCAAGTAAAATTTTTTTTATGAAAAAACACAGAAGCTTCATTTTACGATAAATATTTTTTACAGTTTTTTTGTTATTTATTTATTTTTTTTGTTTTGTTTTTATTTCTTTTTAGTTGTTTATTTTTTTGGTTTTCTTTTGCTTTTTTGTTGTTTTTTNTTTTGTTTTTTTTTTTTTTGGTTTACTTTTGTTTGTTGGTTTTTATTATTTTTTTTCAAATATGGTAACACTGGTCTCAACAGATTGCTTTTGTGATAGGCATATAAAAGATTAAAAGATGTAATAAATTTGCATTATTTTACGTACTTTTATGACAAAGTTTCATGAAGGTTCAAATCACTACAAAAAAAAGCTCTAGGTATTGTTCGAACGTGGAATCGCACATTTAATCCATGTTCATTACATTAGCCACTCCGAGCTTTCTCGAACATTTTGAACATTTTTTTATACTCAGCTGTACTAGACACACAATGTATGTATGTATAATAGGTTTATTCAGCTAACCGTGGATATCAAACGTGATGGAATGACAAGGAGAATTGGTTTCATTCTTTGTCCGTCCATTCGCCCGTGTGCCGACAACTAAACTAACAATTGAGATGTCATATCAACTCAAGTAGAGAGATACCTGTGTACCAGGTTTCATGTAAATCAAACGATTTAAAAATAAATTCGATTTTTTCGAATAGATCGGTACCAGATTCGTTTCCCGGAAATTCCTTTCCTCTCCTTTCTACATATGTCATATTATATATGCAGAACACACCCTGCAAGCTTCACATCTATGCGACCAGTGGTTTAGGCTGTGGGTTGGTCCATCAGTCATTAAGGGCAAAGTCTTTTATATATAAATGTATATAGATAACGGATTTATTACTTTCCCCAACACGCTTGACTCAAGATCAAGCATTTATTAACAGAGTCCAAACAAACTTGGTAGAAAATTTACGTTTTAAAGCAGACAAAATTCATGAGAACATTTATTTAAGTCATAGCGGTTGCCTCTCGCCAGGCAAGCTATCCGAGTGTGTTTCCGACATGAAATAAAAACTCTTCAAAATATAAAATCGCTTCACTGCTCGAAAATTTCCAACAAATATTTTAACATAAAAACTAATCAACTGTTCAGTGGCGGATTAAAACAGCACAATATATTTTTATTTCTAGGAAAAGGACGCAACCCGGCTAACAAAAGCCTATTTCATCTTTCTTTTAAACATAATTTAATTAATAACATAATTTAATTTTAAACATAATTTTGCCATAAAAACATGTGGCGTTCACTCTCTGTTCAACTTTAAAAGTACTAGTGTTTGGAATGTAATAAAGACCGGTCACAGTAAGTTTAGAAGAAAAAATTCGACTTTTAATATCCGAATTGGGCCAATTCAGAAAATTTCAAATGCCCTATTTCATCTTCTAGTGACCTAAAGTTTTTTATTGTTTACGAAATTATCGAATTATTTACTTTTCCAAACAAAAAAACATACATACATATGTACATATGTATGTATGTATTTATTAAAGTCCACAAAACATTTACAGTGACATCACGGTACGACGAAATGGTTGCGATAATAAACTTAATAGGCATACGAACATTTGTAAATCATTCATTCAACTTATGCATACATATAAAGTGTACATCCGCAATATTACGTATAGATATTTATGTATGTATATAGTTATATATTGATATATACATATACATATATATGTGGTATATTTTTGGGCTTCATATCAAGCATGCATACATACATACATACATACTGAAACTTAAAACAATGATTAGTTGGCTGTTGCTGTCTCAGCTGCTTTAGTTTTTGCTCTAAAAAAAATTGAAAAGCTTATAACAATTTCAATGGCCGTAATAGATACAAGTTCGTGAAATTCACGATGATAATGGCATATACGAAGCATGAACGAAAGCAAAACAGCAAAAAAAAAAAAAAAAAAAAGTGAAACCAAAGGCGGTAAAATACCATGTGATGAAACAGAATACAATTAAAGAAATGGATAACAATAGGAATACTTGGCTGTGTCGTTGTCCGACGAAGCACAGCCAATATTGTATGTATATGTATGTATGTACATATGTACAAACATACTATATATATAATATATTGTACACCTGGAATTTGGATTCCCTTCAAATATTAAATTAACCAGGAAATACATATGCATTGCTTAATAGCAGGGACCGTTATCATTATGAGTTCTAAAATATAAATCACAATTTTATGGTTATGTTCGAATTTTTAGAATTTTGCCTTTTTTTGTTGCTTTATAATAATTACTTTTAAGTTTTACTTAAACACTCAATGAAAATTATGGTACTTTAAGCGAAAAAATAAAACTAAAGAACTCGAAAACAAATATTTTTCCCAACAATTCTTCTTCTAAATTCACTCGAAGAAAATCTGAAAAAAAGTTTTATTCGAGCTTGAGCGATGTGAAGTCGTAAGCGAAAAAAACGCCAAAAAATTAATATGTTTTTTAACGAAGCTTTTTTTTCGCTTACAATAATAATAATTGTTCAAACAATATTTTTTTAATAAAAACTCTAAAGTACTTATTATCAACTAAGCAAAAATCATAAAATAATAAATCACTTTATTGCTTACTCCTTGCAAGTGCTCATTATTTACGATCCTAACCTAAAATTACTGGAAAATTATAGTATATTACACTACTCATATATTTAACTCTAGATGATTTTGGTCGAGATTCATTTCCGATTTGTGTTGTACGTCTTAAAGAGGAATATTTTATATTGAACATTAATGCAAATACTTTTACGAAAATTTACAGACGACAGACATTAGATTAAAACTTTTTTAAAATAAATGCATAAAACTCCATTTTGTATTCCCTCAAACGAAGGCTTTCAGTTTTTAAATTTAAATTAAATTACCCTACACATACAAATATGTATAAACACAGAAGTAGCCTTGGAAATTTACTCACCCCTTTAACCATTTTCATGCGCTTCAGCGCAAATGAAAGTAATTGGCTCAACAAATCTAAGGATATCTCTGCGCGGCGTGAGTTTCTGTATGAACGAAAAAAAAATCCAATTAGTGAGTTTAAACTTTAAAATTATTTTGTAAAAGATGTATGATTTTCAAGTTGTTTTATTTAAAACATCTTTAGAATTACCGTTTGGGCCCATTTAATACATTATCAACGTTCAAACACTCAGGGCAAACCCATGTATCATCTAATTTGGTAGCAGATGTTACCTTGATGCAAGTGCAATGGAAGCAGCGTACACATTTAGAGCAAGGAAAAAGATCAACACACTCGCGGCATTTCCAGCAAAAGCAATCCCAACCTCGCTGCAGAGTTTCAGTGCGAATAATAAAAAATTATTAAATTAGTAATATTACAAAGTCAAACGACATAGCCTCTTACCTTCGGTGGCGGTGCCCAATAAGTTAATAAACGCGCCTCGACGCTATCTACTTTAGGAGACGTGCCAATATTACCAACACATTCCCGCTCCAAAGATACGTCGGACAAGGAATTCATACTACCTACCAATCCAACAGCAGATACATTACACTCGTTCATTGCGTTTTGCTCAACTACTAAATTTAAGTCGTCCTCTTCACCTCCATTGACAAAACTACGCTCGCCATCATCCGCTTCCGACGACACTTCACCCTCATCGTGTTTTACACGACTCAAAAATTCCATTTGTTTTTGCACAAATTCCGAATTTTGCGAACGCATATTCGTCCGCTTCAACATCTTCTCGTCGGAGGGCCAACGATTCAACTTGCCACCAGATGCATCTAAAATATCTTCGCTTTTGCGATTTACACTCTTACTACGTGAACGCCGGGCCAATATGCTTGAATTAGAACTGCCACTATCATCTTTTAAGGGAGCAAATTTACCAGATTTACGATGTTTTTCACCATGATGATGATGATGATGATGATGGTGATTGTTTTGCTGTTGTTGCTGTGGAATCGTTTGCTCAGTAGAATCCTTCGGTGCATTCTTTTGACGCTTTCGCACTGGATCGGTAACAAATTCACTCAAAACTTTTGATTCATTCACGGAACGCTGAAGTGCAAGAAATTCACGAGAAAGGGGTGTACTGCTCCGAGCCAGAAAGCGTGCATTTTGCTGCTGTTGTAAGGAATCTGGTAATTTCCCTTCATTAAGAGACTGAAGTTTATCAGCATCTGATATCATAGACTCGGCACCACCCACAATTTTGTGGCCTGAATTGCTGGGCTGACCAGTTGATGAGCATAGAATGGCGCCAGTGCTGCCTTCTGCCGCCTGATCATTTATCTGTGGTGCCATAATTATTTTATTGCTTTTTGTTTTCATGGGCAATATATTAGGTTTCACTATTAAGCCTGACACAATTTGCACCGGCATGGGACAAATGCGCGCGTGGTCCACAGCCGGTTCTTCAGCAATTGGAGTTTTTTTGTCAACTACTACTGATTTGTTACTAGCTTGCTCGCTTGGCAGTTCTGTGGCAGCGGCAGCTGCAACTGCAGCAACTTCCAATGCATTGAGCTCCACTTGTTCCATTTGATGTTCATTTTCTTTATAATCATCTCGTTCACCACAATCATCTTCCAAAAAGCTCCCATCATCACCTTCGACATCGGCTTGATCACGCTCAAGCTCCCCCCGGCCATTTTGAATTTGCACCGGATCGATATGATCTTCATTACCTTCACTATATTCTTCACCTTCCATTTCTACATCTTCATCTCCCGCTATAGATGTACTATTTGTTGCACCTGACTTCAATGACGACTTAGTGACTATGATGCGTTCATATGTTGGACCCGGTATCGAATCGATACTGTCCTCAGAAGCTAAAATATTTGGCTCCATTACAATGGCGATGATATCATAGTAATGCTGATGTGATCAAATTAAGCTGAAATAATGCGATGAATAAATGAAAATATTAAGAAAATAGGTTAATATGATTGTTCGAACTAATTTAATTAATTATGTAAAGAAGAGACTAAATAATAAAGCAAAATATACAAATACCAGCAAAGAGCAATCGAGAAAAGTGTAATAGCACATCTGCTGAATATGCAAGCAAGACAGACGAAGCGAAGATGGTGCTGATCAGTCATATGAAAACATCGTTTTTACCATCGCGAATACCGGCTATCTTCGTACGCCACGATTAAATACACACGATGAAAACTAATTGCTTATACATATGTACATATTTATGCATATGCATACATACGAGCACAAAATTTGATTCGTCACACATGTATGCAAACTAAAACGCCTACTAAACATATTCAAATCAATGTGAGAAGAAATGAACTCCCTTCATACTCTCTGAACCCCCTACCATAAAGCAAACCAACAAAGTCAATTACACCAAATGCTAACAGGTATGAAGTTACAGATACTGCTTTATACACATTACACAATATATTTAATACAATATGTATATACAGTAGCCGTGCAGGTAACAGTACATCCAACGAACTGAAGGTAGGGGATTAGATCCCGATCAGACTAACCTTGATCCATCTATTTATAGAGAAAGCCAGTAAGATGAGTACCACAAATTGTAAGAGAGCTTTTTTTTACCAAAACAAATATAAATATTTAGACACTGTGGAGGGGATCTACACACATAATCATATAACATAGTTTTGTGATTTTGAAGAAGTTCACAGTCAACTATGTTTTCATGTTTCACACCACTTTTCATCAAGCCTTTTCAAACTTTATCCAATTTGATTTCAAACTAATTCTGTAATAATAATATTTATATGGCGGCCACAAAGCCTATTGGCTATAGCTGTATGTAATAAAAGGCGGAGCGTTACGGGATTGATTCCTCTCAAGACCAGGCCAACATTAGAAAATTAATTTAAATCAGCTTGTATATTTATTTTCCTAATTGCGGTCACTACTCCCAAGTGTATTTCTGACAAGCTCTTCATAAAATCTCATTAGCGGCTTATCAGAGATTTGGAATAGCTTACGGATTACTCCATTTCTCGAAGAAAACATAAAGCCGCACACTAAAAACTTGAGAAGTAGTTCGGCCGAAAAACGTTTAAGCGCTTACAAAATGACAAATAATTAGAATAAATATACAAACATACATATATACATATAGTGTTGCGAATTGCATGTACAAACAAAAGAACTAAAATACATTTATTTCAACTATTGCCAGTATTTGGGATTTTTAATTAGAAAAAAAGCTATAGTACAGAGAACACATATTATCCACGTCTAAGGAGTTGTTTAAGAAATTGTTATCAGAATTTTTAAATGGGTATAACGAGTGTCTGAAAGATATAGATTCATTCCACAAATATTAACAAATTATTAAGAGTGGGGAAACCAGGAAAGCATAATCCAAGTAAAACGGTACTCTTTTAATCACACCATATTGTGGTACTTCTACAGCTTAAGTAGCAATAGTTGGTAATGTATGCACTCAGATATAGCCGACCCGTTTGCAAATGGCGTTTGCCTCAAAAATCCCAAGTAAAAAATGTACCAAGAAATATTGAAAATACTTTAGTGAAATATGTAAATAAAAATTATATACATTACTCGTATATTTCTAATGTTGTACCTCAGTAATACGGATTTGGCAGCTGACTTTATTGTTTATTACACTGTCGTGACACGCACAGCTCGTACTAATATTGCATTCGTGACCATGTAGTTCCAACTACCTTCGTTCCCTGGCTTTTGATTGCCTTCTCTAAATTGTTTGCATATATTTGCACGAGTGTTGGTGTTTAGCTTGGTTGAAATAGCTGTCGTTGATGACCAGGACAGAATGCGCTGTATTGATTTATTCGCCGGGATAGCACACAAATATATAGATGGTTGTAATTATCACCTGCAATAACGTGTTTTATTTTCGTTTTAGTTTAACATCAAATTACGTTTGTTGATATTTTCCCCCAACATCATATTTATGGCAAACGATGAGTCGCCTCAGTTGGATTTCTTCAATGTATATACATACATATGTATTTATTCACTTTGATAATAATCCACACTCTTCTTAATCTGTAAATAATGTTTAACTATTCGCAGGAATAATTATTGTTTGCATCATTTATAATACTTGAAAACGCTCTATCTCCACGACTTTGTCGTTTCCCGATTCGCAAGTCCAATCGTTCACTTTTTCGTGTGTGCCAATGTGCGCACATAAATACACACACATAAAAACAAATACTTATATATTTGACGTTTTAGTTTTTCTAGCCTCTTGATTATTATGGCTGCTATTGCAGATAATCAAAACTTTCTGCGATTTCCAGTAACGCAATGCACAACTAAGTGCGTGGATTTTCCAAAATTTATCAACAAATTCAATTTAGTATATTCCATAAAATTTTTTAATATTTTTTATGCTATAGCGTTGATGTAGTCGTTAATGCGGTTGTGGTTTGCTGTTGTCTGACTGGTTCCCTGGCTATTTTACTTCGCCGATGTTCGCGTTGTTTCGCCACTAAAATTTGTTTTTATTCGCTCGCTTTGGGAATTTGCTCTTTTCATTTTCAGAGTACGCTCTTTTTGAGGCGAAAAAGTTAGAGCGATGTACGAACTAGTTATGGATTGTTAAACTAAGCTGTTTTTTTTTTTTTTGTTTTCAAAGTTCTATAAAATAAGTAAATAAACATGCTCAATACGGTTGAAGTCGTATGAAATGAATAAATAAACTCAGCGGATTGTTATTGGCCATGGAAAAAAAATCTACATTGAAAAATGCAAACACAAAAATTAGAATAACGTACTCTTTTCCAATTCTTTTTTGCTCTGTATAAGTTTCGAATTTTCATAATTACTCTCAACATTTAATATAAAGTGATTATTATATTTTAAAAATTTTTTTCTATAAATGTATTTATATATTAGATGCGCCGAAATACTTTAATTTTTTGAAACCAATTGTTTTTAAAAGATTTATTCTAATAACAGAAGAAAGTTTCAAGATATTTTTTGTTAACGCAAAAATGGAATTCAAATATTTATTAATTTTCGAAAATATTAGTGACGACATACAGATGTATAATCAACCAACTCACAAACTTATCCTGCAACTTTGAATACCTTCCTTTTTATATTGTAAGCTACATACCACAGTACGGTGCAAAGGCATTTACATAAGGGATACTTATACAGGAGCATAAAGTAGAATCAGGATTTTTTAAAATTAAAGATACACAGAAGGTAAATTTTTTAATTTCATTCTGTTTAAAAAATAATCAATTATTGTCAGATTTTTTTCTATTTTCATTGAAATACATATTTAGACATTCGCTTTATTGTATACTCCTAATCTTGATAAAGTAAATAAGTGTGTATTTTGTTTACATTATATAATTATTATATAAAAATTTTCAATATACTTAATTTTTGCTTATAAATAAACCAGCTAGAACATATGGTTAGGTATTGTGGTATGATTAAATTAGTAAGTGTAAACTTTTTTTTACTAAAATATTCAGTTAGAACGTACTACAAATTTACTATTTTTATTTAATGAGCTAATTTTTTGTATTAGGTAAGAAATGATGTTAAAAAGGCTTATAGGTGCCAAGTAATTCCTAAGGAATTCTTCGCCTAGCTTGCTGGTCTGTGCAAGTTTCTGACACGATATTTTATTTAATTGTCAACTTTTGCTGCGCTAAATGTACAGTGCAAAAATTATAAATTCAACTTAGGAAAGGAACAATTTGCTATACAAAGTTTAAGTACATAATATTCATAGAAATAATACACACTGGAAGTTCTTCTAACAATCAAATAAAATTAATTATGCACAATGTTTGGATTAAAAAACTACGAAAATGCTTATTGAATTGAAAGTATGAAAGATTTTAATTTTTTTATATTATAAGTACATGTACTTTTGTCTAGCCATATTTCCAAAAAAAAAAAAAAAACAACACTTGACAGACTAAACTATCCTTATCTCTATTTTATCAGCTGCATTTCCATACTCTTGCTTTCTTTCTTTTTATCCCAATGAATTAACTCGCTAAGAAAATAATATTTTCCACATAAATGCAGTATTTTGATTGCTTAACTTGCTATACTTAATTTGCAAAAGATAAAGTGCCGAAAATTTTCAGCAGTTCAGCAGTAAAAGCAGGAAACATAACCTCCCAAATCCGAAATCCGCAGTGTGTAATCACTTTGTCTTATGCACCAATCGACAAACACACACAATTATAGTTCCACATTATTGAGATTCGAGCCAGAGGATGAGGGTAAGTCAACATCGCTGGGTGGGACAAAAGTACCCCTCGACATAACTGATTTATTCTTTTCAGCCAATTTTAACATTTCTTCTTTTAGTTTATCGAGGATAGCGTAGTTCGGCTGATTTATGGCTGCTTTGCTTTGCAGGACTGTGATTTCTTGTTCTTCCAACTTTTTTTCTTTAGAAGTCTTAATTGAATTATTACCATACAATCGCAGCAGTGAGCCCCAGGTCTTAATATGCGGATGCAAAATCTGCAAAAGGTTAACGTTTAATTATTTGTTGGAATATATACAAACATACATGTACATTTTTTTTAACTAATTATTACTGTTTAAACGCACCTGTAGTATGGCCTGTGAAGCCAATTGCTTGCCCTCACGTTTATTCTTGCACAATACTTTGGCTGTATGTTTGCCTACCGTCATAGTAAATTCATTTTTCTTATTTTTTGTACGATTTATTTCATAATTAATCTGCACATCGCCTAGACCGAAATTTCGTTGCAGACATGTCAATAGTATAGCATGCGGTGATGGTTCAGTTGTCTTATTACAAAACTCAGCAACACGAGGATCTTGTATTTTAATATCATCAAAAACCTGTTTAATAAAATTATATTATTATTTGTGATTTATTGTGCATTACAAATTATAAAAGTCAAATTAACTCACTGACAAATCCTTGTGATTACTTTTCGGTGCATTTTTATCCTGTTTTATTCCCGTTATCTTATCTTTCATTTCTGGTATAAGTATTTCTAGTGTCTCACGTGCAGCATCCGATTTGGCTTGTTTTTTGCTAGTACCATAACCAGTTCCATATTTTAGATCATTGATCGATACCGTTGCCGAATAAGGAGTTGCTGCGTTTTCTAATTCCTTGAATTCATATGTTGGCTGTTTCTTCAGGGCATGTTGCACATATTCATGTAATATACACACATAGCTCTTCCCATTCGGATTCATAATCCATTCCTTTCGTCCACGTGAATTTGCACTTGAATCACCACTTTGCGCCAATATGGGAAATTTAATTAATTTTGTGCCGTCAGGCAGTGTTGGACGTTGTAAATTTTTAATTTGTTTTCGATTTTTGGTAAACTTACGTCGAGCGTTCCATGAACGAAAACGAAGAACTCGAATAACTTTGAATTTAAACAATTTACTGCAATAATCATTCAATTGATCTGGCAATAGCGATTCCTTTTGGGTATTTTCTGTAACAGTTACAATTTTAGCAGGCGGAACTAGACTCTTTAATGCTGCAACATTAGCCACTAAATCAGCGGAGGTAGCTGTAGTTGATGGAACAGTATTGAGTGTTGCTGACGGCGTAGATAAAATTGCTTTTACAGAATCTTTCATTATACTATCTGAGATTTCTCCATTCGTCGATGGCGAAACTGCTGCGGGCTGACTGATCTCAGTCGCAGTAGTACTGTTGTTACCAGCAAAGGGACAACTAGGGACGACTTGATTGTTGTCTCCGATTGACTCTTGTAGTTTGTCCACTAACTGTTGCTTCATTCGTTCGCTCTCCTCCTCTTCAAGTGCTCTCCTATAGTTTAGACATGGTATAGCACCTAGAGGTATGGCATGTTTCTAAAAAAAATGTAATAAAACTAATTACATTTTTTTCTAAATTACAAAACATTAAATGCTAGGAATTTAAAGTTTATATCAACATACCCTCACACTACCATGGCCAAGAAAATATGGTCTAGACGCGGAAACTACACGTGACTGCTTGTGTAAAAATAGAGGCATACCACTATTGTGAGTGACCTGAACCCAACCCTCTGGCAGTACCTCGAAATGATTGTGACCTTTTTCTGAAGTTAAAATTATTCATTTTTATAAAATGTCGTATTTATGGTATGATACTTTTTACTAACCTTCCAGAACGGTTTTAAAGCGTTCTTCATATTTAGGTTTTTTCGGTTCTTTCAAGTCGTCAGGTAAATTCTCATTAAGCAAATTTTCAATCTCATTATCGTCAATGTCCAAATCAGAAGATTCATATCCATCGCCCTGATCATAGTTCTTATCTCCGTTTTCACTAGCAACTTCTGAAGAGACGGAAAGTACATTTTATTGAAACATGGAACTCACTAAAAATAATTGCAAAAATTGTACACATCTATATTCTGAAAACAAAATTGTCTCAAATTACCATACATTTTTTTCTCTATGGAGAAATATTTTTATGAACAGTTTTTATGGAAAATAGTTTCTTATTTAAAATAGTTTCGCGTCACATCTGACGTACCTGAATCGTCGGAACCGGAGCCCTGTACTTCATCTAACACTTGAAATTGACGTAATTGTTGATCAAGTGACCCACTATGATTGTTCTCTTCAACTCGGGTCTTCATTTCTTCGATAGCGCTTAACGAGAAACCTTTATCCTTCATAGCATTAGCCTCAATGTGTAACGCCTCTTCATCAAGTCGTGCTTTTTTACTAACTTGTGGTGATGAGGGCGGTGAAGACATTGATCCCTGCATGCTTTCAAATTCACTAGACATAGTTATTTAAAAGCTTAAGAATTTTAATAAAATCTTGTCCAAGGAAAATAGAATATACCGGCTGTATTCACTTGCAGTTTATATTTATCTTATGTCGATTATGGCTGCTCTTTAAAACACCCAACCTGATGGAATCCAACTTTTGTAATAAATTTTTAATAGAAATTGGATTGGTCACATTGGTTATTTTAGAACTAGCCCAAAAGATGCACCTGCCTTTTGGAGTATTTATTTTACTTCCAACGTTGTGTTAATAATTGCTGAAGCAACTTTCGCAATGGATTCTGCTTTAAAATTTGTATTTGTTTTAAAATACACGAAACCACTGCAAAAGTACTTCTTTAAATAGGAAATTCTTACTTGCAAAATATATTTATACACATGTGGTGCTTTTATTTCAAATATAAAATAAATTTCAAGTTCAGCAAAAATGCCTATAATATTCTACACATAAACGGAGATGTCAAGAGATCGCTTAATCGATAATAAATTTGTTCATAACCGATATCTTTCATTTTCGCAAAATTAATCATGTCATTCAGTTTATTGATGGTAAACATTTGCTACACCAACCATTTATTTATTTATTTTATATATTGATTTTTTAAAAAAAAGTTTCATTTTTTTAATAACTGTTAATAAAAAATTTGTTTATTTGCAATGATTATTTTTTTTTAGCAAATAAAATAATTAAAAAGAAGTGGCTAATTCCTTTTTAGCTATCGTGTAATTAATTCGTTTGTTCTTAGTCCAAAGCAAATAAATACATTAATTTAGAGTAACCGATTACATACAATTTCTCTGTTATTAGCAGAAGATTGCTTGTCTGCCTCTGTTAATAAACTTAATTTCGTGGTTGCTGTTATTTAACAGCGTGTTGAATTTTCTTCCCACGATTTTCCAGAAATTTTTAGAGATCTTAAAAGTGGTGCCATGAATTTGCACCTTCTCCGCCTTATGCAATTTTCATCGCAGTATTAAAGATGAAATGGAAATGTTCGGAAAGCTTTATTCCAATACAGTAAATACCGCTCAGCAACACTACTTAGCGACGGATTCCCAATTTCGTTGGCTCTGTCATCGGTAGAAAAAATCCAGGCGTCGTGGAAAAATTTTTCTTTGTATGAATAAGTTAATTTATGTTACTATGAAAACTATATTTGTGTTTAAAATATTGTAAAATTTGCCTTGGGGCAATAGAATTTAAGCAAATGAAAAATTATTGTTAAAGTTTCGGATATTGAATAAGGAAATCGATTATAATTCATCTCTGCCTCTCGCATATTAAATTTCTGACTGACGGTGTCTTAACCGCTGATACTACCTTGATGAAAACAGATAATTAGATAAAGCAATACATAAATATCTATTGGAAAAGTAGTCTGCATTCAATTATCGCCTTGAACGGGAGAAAAACAATATCAAGTGTGTAAAAGATTCTGTACAACGAAATGGCACATTCGTTGCACCACACAGAGCGAAGCATTCATGAAATGCTCAAGGATACACCACCAATGAATGAAAGCGGTAGTGCTATACATAGTGGAACCGAAGGCCGAGCTTTTATGCCACCAAATAGTCTACCACTTCATAATCATTCTGGTATGTTTTATAATAATCACTTGTTATATATGACCTTACAATTCAAATAATACTGAAGTTTTTTCAGCACCTGCTACACCTTTGTCACAAACAAGCCCTCAGAATGGTGTGGATGCTGGCCTGCTGCGTACGGGAGCATCGAAAATTGACAGTATAAAGAATTGGAGCATATCAACCTACAAATGTACCCGGCAAATAATGTTGGAAAAGCTGGGCAAATCACAGCGTACGGTTGACTCAGAATTAGAAGCGCAAATTGAACAATTGCGAGAAACACAACGGAAATATTTATCAATTTTGCGCTTGACGCGTGCTTTCAGTTCACATTTTCATCATGTTGTAGTAACGCAGCATGCTCTGGCGGAAGCCTTTGCAGATTTGGCACAGAAAAGCCCTGAACTACAAGAAGAATTCACTTGTAATTCAGAGACACAACGAAATCTTACGAAAAATGGTGAGCTGCTGCTTAGTGCGCTGAATTTTTTTATTTCATCTGTGAATACATTGTGTAATAAAACCATTGATGACACGTTACTTACAATCAAGCAATATGAGATCGCCAGGTAATATATCTTATATAAAATAAAAACTAAATAATACAAATTTGAATCCTTATAGAGTGGAGTTCGACGCTTATCGAATGGATTTGGAAAACACCAAACCCGAATTGCCCCAAAGTCCTGTTACTGAAGAAGCACAAAAAAACTTTTCACATCATAAGGAACTTTATGAAAAGTTACGAGCAGATGTAGCTATCAAAATGCAATTTCTTGATGAAAATAGGGTGTGTGGTTTAATCTTAATAATGTTTATTCTATGGTGCTGAGTCCTATTTATAATTTCAGATAAAAGTAATGCATAAACAACTGGTGTTGCTTCACAATGCAATAGCAGCGTATTTTTCGGGCAATGCAGTTGCACTTGAAAGCACAATGAAACAATTTAACATAAAAGTAAATACAAATTCAGAACATAAAAATTAAAAATAATTAATCTTTTATACTGTTTTAGTTGAAAGCGCCTAATTCGGCAACTGGATCCTGGTTAGAACAGTAGTATTGCTAAGAGCCCGTCCATACAAACTCCCAACAGTTACTGTCGCAGCAAATATGGATAGATACATTTTGCTTTCCTTTAAAACTGCAAAGAGCAAATGTAATCAGTTTCCGTGGACCAATTGAGGCAACAATAACATATGAGAGAAAGTTTTTTTCGAATAAGCGATAGTTTGGTAACGTATATGTGACCATACATATATATACAAAAAATATTTGAATGAATATTGACATCGTATTTATAAATGTATTTATAGTATATGTATTCTTCATTGCTTTCATGTGTTTCTCAATAGAACGAAAAGTAATTAAGATTTGAAACGTGAAAGGAAATGTAACCAGTGAAATTGGATTACAATAAAAACTTAGTAATATAAGAACACATACTTATAATAGTTCCTGAGTTTTTGTTTGTATGTATTGTAATTTTTACTTAATACTCTCGATTTTTTGTTATACAAACATCATATGTAAGAGGTTATTTATGTGTTTTGATTTTGACTTTCTGAAAACTATCAACAATTTATATATTTCGAATAACTAAAATTCAAAACTTTTATGCGTATGTATTTGTATGCACACAAATGTTATAAACATTGAATTTTTTTTATTTTTCTAAGATATACTGTTTATCAAATATATATATTTGTGTAGATAATTTTTGTCACTTTTACCATATAAAAGGACTATGTATATTTTATATGCCACTAAAAACAATATCTATTAAGAAATTATGAAAAAAAAACCCTATTCCATGAGCATACATTAATGCAGTATTGACCGAAAATAGCTTTTTCTCAACTCCATTAATGTTTAGACCTTAGACGTAAGTAAAATAAAAAAAATAATGCAAATAATTAATAATTAAGATATACATACATGGGTATATCTGCAAAAGCATGATTGTTTACTCTAGTCAACGTGTATTTAAATTATATATACAGTAAAGAAATAAAAAATTCTTTTTACAAAAGAACAAACATTTTATGTGTGGTGAACATCGGCCTCAGTGCTTTTCCAATTGCATATCTTTCATCCTATCATTAAGCGATGTTTCTTCGTCTTCTTCTGCAAGAAACATGGCCTGCGAATGAAAATTAAAAATTTTCATTTTATTACTCATCATTTAATTACTTGTACACTTACCGCATCATATATGACTTTAATTATTAAAGAACAACTAGGGCACGTGGCCACTTCTTCGCCTTCCATAAGTTCTTCCTTTAAATAGGAAAAGCATTTAAAAATTATTCATAGTAACATTTTGCTTTTTAAATGTTTGCGAAATTGAAGTAATCTCCTTGCGGTTACCTTGGTAATCTGAAATCGATCACCGCACGGACATGGATAATAGTATATCTCCTCCTCTTCATCATATTCCATGTCTTCAATTTCAACTTCATCGTGATAAACACTCATTTTGTATTCTTTTCACATAATCAACTTTCATTTATTTATATTTATTTACACAGACGTATAAATGTTTAAATGTTACTAAAATTCACGTTGCTGCTTAGTGCGATAACAAAAAAATATACAAAACATGTTGACTTTATTTGACAGTTGTCTCTCTTATGTTGTGATTAGTGCCGGACGAGGAACTTTGGCAAGATTTTATTTTTCTATTAGACAGCAATCATGTTTAAATGTACTTTTGTTTTGATCTTAATAGAATTTGTTAACGTTTATTTAAGTCGCATTGCTCGTTAATTTAAATAAAATAAATGAAACGAGTTTATCAAATGGAAGTATATTGTGTTCTTTGAAAGAAAAATAGAGGTTAGTGAACGTTTCGTAAAGAAATTATGGGATATAGTTAACAACTTTTAACAAAAGATAACTTATAAGCCAATATATAATTAAGTTACAATTGTTATAAAAGTGGAAAGAATACCTCCCTTATTATTTCTTCAAACTATTATGTTTAAATTCCCAGTAGGTTGCTTATAATATCAAGTTTGTCTGGAAATTAAATCTCTGCTCTTTAAAAATTGATATCCAACTAATATCCATCATTTTGTTACTTCCTTTATAACTAACATAAAAAAGATTAAAAAAATTTCAATTCCCCCGATTTATAACTATAGTTTCGTCGAAGTGGGATCCAGAGAACGTATAACATATACGTTCTCTGACGTAAATACAAATACAAAATACGTATTTACGTTCTCTGTTATTGAGTTATTGGAATAGAGCAAATATAGAAATAGACATAAATAATTGAAGCAGGGTAACACTGCTAGAAATCGTTTAAAAACGAAAATAAGTAATCAAAACAGAACTATCGCGAATTTATTCGAAATCATATAAATTTATTAAAAATATGTCTAGTAAAAAGTTTAGTGATATAAATCTTTATGAACTTCTTGGTATTGAGATTGAGGCCGAGCAAGCGGAAATACGAAGAGCTTATAGAAAGAAAGCACTTGAGTGCCATCCTGACAAAAATCCGGATAACCCCAAGGCTGCCGAACTTTTCCATGAGCTATCTAAAGCTTTGGAAATACTTACTGACACATCGGCTCGTGATGCCTATGACAAAGTGTTAAAAGCCAAAAAAGCAGCTCAGCTTCGAAATAAGCAATTGGATAGTAAACGCCAAAAACTGAAAGCAGACCTAGAACAGCGTGAAAGAGATGCATGGCACAAATTCAACAGTACGCAGCAATACACCACGGCATCAAAAAGCGATGAAGAATTGTTACAGGATCAAATTGAACGACTACGCCGCGAGGGTTCCAAGCTATTGGAAGAGGAACAGCGACTAATGAGAGAACAATTGTTAAGAACCATGGCCAAAAGTCAACGAACACACGAAAAAAAAATATTTGATTCGTCTGCGCATCGGATCAAAATCAAGTGGAAAGCTGAAAAGAAAGATGCAGACAATGGTGGATATACCCAAGAAATGCTACAAAATTTTCTTAAGAAATATGGAGAACTTGTTGCTTTAGTAATGTCTAAAAAAAAGGGGAGTGCACTTGTAGAATTTAAGACACTGGAAGCAGCAGAGCTAGCGATAGCATACGAAAGAGGGTGCCTAGAGAATCCTTTACAGATGGAATGGGTTACTGCACCAACAACAAAAGCGGTTGAAACCCCTCTCAGTTCTTCACTGGATTATGAAAATTTGGTTATGCGCAAACTTCGACAGGCTGAGGAACGCAAAAAGCTAATAGCACAAATGCAAGCAGAAGACGAAGCGGAAGAATAACTAACTAAAGTTTAAAGTATTTTTGAGACACGCATGTATAATAAAAGATTTCCAAACAATTTAATATTTCTTACTTACTTTACTGGCGTAGACACCGCTTAGCCCATTCGTTTCTTCTTTTTGCTCTTTGCCCAATTTGAAATTAAATTAAAACTGTTTTTTTTTTCAGCACAGTTGGTCATATTTGAATTCTCATATGAAGTTATATTCTGAATCTGAATTTATCAGCGATCGGAAAATCGCTACATACTGTTACGATTTTACTAAATCAACCTCGATTATTTTCTAGATCCTTCGGGTACGATCTCTGGATTGTTAAATAAAACTCGCCAACTTAATTTGCAGTTTCTTTCTTTATAAAGAATTAATCTAATGTCCTTTATTTTCTCAGTAATTCACAATTCAATTATACTGCACTTTACTATTTATAATCACTAACATCAACTTTCACAATTTCCTCTACTTAAATGTAATTCCCAACGCGTTCACTTTACGTCTTCACTGATGTTAACGCCAACCAATT